GCGGTATAACTTAGTGCGGGCAGCAGCGCTGAGGGATAGAGCCCCGACGGCAGCGGACACCGCGCCTTCCGCTCCAGGGAGAGGCGAGGGAACCCGACGGGGCCGTCTTGGCCCCGGAGCTCTCCCGCCAGCCCCCGTGCGCAGCCCCAGCCCGCACCGGCGCCTCCGCCGCAATGGATTTCACAGGGGCCGTGGCGGGAGAGCGCGGGATGCGGGAGGTGACGGACGCGCAGAAAGCTGGACAATACCCGAGCTGGGGAGCCCCGGCGCAAGGAAGCGAGGCAGGGATGGAGTCGGGGTGCACCCTTCTGCTGAGGGGTGTTTCTCGCCGTGCACCTGCCCGCGGCAGGGCTGCTCACTCTCCTTTCAGCAATATAGAGAATATTAAAGGTTCTGGAAAGCACTGCTCGAAGCGCAGTTTTCGGACAGAGCCCAATGGGCTTTGCTGGGATCTTGCCAAGGTCCCAGACACACCACTTTTGTCCCCGGTCCCCTCAGGAGGGCTTGTATTTCGCAGCGGTGTCCCGGCCAGCAGCTGCGAGGCAGAGAGGCAGCTTGCGATGCCAAACTCCCGGGAGCCCCGAGCTGCAAAGGAGCTCAGGGGCCAAGAGGAGCCCCGGCAAGCCAGCAAAGCCGGAGAAAAGGGGAGTGGAGGGTGGAGGTCAGGCCCTGGCTGGGCTGCTCCTCTCTGCTAGCAGGAGGCAGATGCACACGATCAATGAGAGAACCTGAGAAAGGATCCCTGGGCACTTCGTGGGGAGGGAGAGCCTTATGCATCAGGAAGAACCCTCATCTTAATTGTTATTTCCTAGCATGGATAAACTGGGCCCTCAACCCTCATCTGGGGCAGGATTAAAACACCATTTTAGAAATGAAGTTGTCCCAGCAGCTGTTTGGGGTAGGTGAAGGGGGACAAAAGTTTCAAGGCTTGCAGGAATATGGACAGTGGCTGTGGATACCTGAAGGAGGTCAGATGCTCTGGAGAAGTGGAGGGCAAGGACACTGGGCTTCCTTAAGGTATGAATTTTGCAGCAACTTAGTGCACGTGTCAGCTCCTGCATTGGAGGCTTTTGTCTGACTCCAAGGAGGTCTGACCCACCTTACTGGTGTTTCCCACAAAACAGGATTTCTCTGTACAGAACTAAGAACTGAAGCAGCAGTTTGGGGAAGCATCTGGGAATGTCTGTCTCCTTGGGCTCTGCCTAGAGTGTGATATCTGAATTATTTTTTGCAGGGCCTGGCATTTAGAGTCCTAGCAAAGAGTGACAAATCCAGCCCTCAGCAAATGGAAGCATACTGACTGCAGATCCAGGCAGAGGCAGCTGGGCTGGGGTGCCTCTGGCCCTCACCCCAGGGATCCATTTGTAGGCTCACTGGATGCATCTCCAAGTGGGTGCTGGTCCTTGTAGACTCTCCCATTGGGATGTGAACCTGGAAGCACCAAGACTGACCCTGACATATCTCAGTGTGTGAGCTTGAAGCACGGCCTCTTTAGCCTCAAAATTAGGGAGGCAAAACCCATATATTAATTGAGAGGACATTTCCAGAGCCTTGTGCTCTACAGTGCTGCTCAAGCCACAGCCCTGGAGAGCCTAAGGGCCAGGAGCAATTTGAACTGGGACATCTCAACTGGGTGTTGCCCTGGAGCTTAGATGTGCAGTGCCCAAACTTCCAGTGCCAGGAGCTGTGTGGCTTTCTCAAGGATGCAAGTGAAGTCTGGCTTATGCAGGGAATAAATCCTAGGGCTCTGCATCATCCCCAAACTCATCAATAATTCCTACTGATTTCCAGAAATTTTGAATCCCTGACAGGACCTAGCCCTGCTTGCTCCTCTCCTTTGTCCTCACTGGGTGCTGGCCAGAAGGAATTCTGACTTACCTGTTATCTGTCTCCTGACAAGTTTTACTGCCCAAAGCTCTACCTTGAGCTCAGCAGCTGGGGGCTGTGACCCTCACTAACCAGACTGAATCACTGGTGGTGACCTTCTGATTTCTGGAGGCCAGTCCCTCTGGGGCCTTCAGCATCTGCTCAGCCTGGGGGATCCCTGGCACAGGGGAGGCCAAGGCTTTTCCTGGCATCAGCTGGGGCCTTTGGGATGTGCAAGCAGCATCAGGCAGCTGTCTTATTTACTGGAGGGGGGCATCTCCTGGGTCTCAGGACTTGGCAGCAGATCTGCGTCCCTCTGGGTGTCAGAGCTCACTGCAGGGGGCTTTGTGGCACTGTGCAGGACCGGCATGGCATTTTTATTGCTTCCCTGTGGAGACAACCTGATATGCTCAGGGCAGGTGAGTAGACTCTGCCCCACATCTCCTGTGTGACAAGGGGCAGGAGAAGAAGCTCAGGCATATCCTGAGGAAGGGGAAAGGCAGCTGCAGTCCTGTGGGACAAGAAGGGCCCCTGCCCGAGGGCAGCCTCCCGGCCCCGGCTGGCCCCAGCCCTCGCTCCCTCCCTCCTCTCCCAGCTCCTCCTAACCACAAGGACTTTGGTTGATGGAGCTGGCGCCAGCGAGTTCCCTGAAGAGTTCAGAAGTCAAGAACTGAGGCAGGTACTGGGAGGAGGGGGGAAATCCGACCCCAGCGGGCAGGCAGGGCTGGGTGGTGGCGGGGGCAGGCTGGCTGGGCACCGGCCGGGCACAGGGCCGAGGGGAGGCTGTGGTTGCTGCTGCCGCCCCCTGTCTCCACAGCCTTCCCGTGAGGGGCTGTGGTGGCGGCTGTGGTGACAGCGACGGGTCTTGGGGTACCACAGCGGGGCTGTGGCTTGGGTGAGGGTGGCAGGAACCCACCAGCACTGGTGTGTCAGTGTGTGAGTGTCTGGGGGTGTCTGAAGGCACAGGAACTGGGGTGTGTTACTGCCTGTTGTGGGAGTGACTGTGCGTGTGAATACATTCAGCTGTGAAGGCGTGAATGAGAACGTGTGTCAGAGCTTGTGTGTGCAGGGGATTGTAGTTGTCTGCGAGTGTGTGGAGCATTTGAATAACTGCACAAACGTCGGTGTGTGTGCAAGGGAATGTGCGTGACTGTGAGTATGGGTGTTTGTGAGCTCATGAGTGTGCCTGTGAGCTTGTGTGCAACACTGGGAGTGTGAGGATGAGGATGGGATGATATAGCTGGTGATGAGTGAGGAGGTGTACCTGAGTGCACAGACACGACTCTTCATGCCAGTGCCGTTTGTTTCGTGTGGGGGATACCCCAGAGCAGGCTGTCCTGTGGGATCCCCACGGTCCTTTTTGGCCACTAAACCACGGGCACGCTGGAGACGAGAAGGGCAGCCTTTGCCCCAGCCAGGGAGGAGGGGGCCTGGAGGGCCGGTCGCAGCCCGTAGCGGGGAGGATGAGGCGGGCAGAGCACAAACTACCGGGCAAAACCCTGCCGCCGCGGCCGGGAGCGCTGGGTCGCACTGGGCAGTGCCGGTCTGCAGCAGTGGGAGGCCGGATGCAAGGAGACGGCAGTGCCCGGTCCCATCGGCGGCCCTGACCCCGGCCCGGCTGTGCAGAGCAGGCACCGACGGGCCAGGGCCACAGCAAGTTTTACAGAAATTGCAATTGCGGCTTTCATTTTCATGTTGTTTTAAACTTTAATTTTTTTTTTTTTAACGGGAACACTCATCTCCTCGCGGGCAGGAGCGGGAGGGGACGGCGGCAGCAGGCGGTGGGGCCAGCAGTGGCGGGTGCTCTGTCAGCGGTGTCCGCTGCCCCGTGGGGCGCAGCTGGGGCCTGCCGTCGTCCTCATCGGGGAAATGAGCCCCGCCCCGGTTCTCCGGGGGAAAGTGCGCTTCAGGAGCCCCTCGTCTCCTCCCATCCCACCCCTTCCATGGGTCCGGGCACTTGTGGGGTGCCCTTCTCAAAGTCCCCGTGTCCCTGCTCAGGGGTCTGGTGGTGGGACAGCCGCCTCCTCCGCGGCTTTTTGGAAGGCGCTGACTTATGAAATTGGGAGCACCCTTCCGGAACAAAGGGGCACGGCGGGTCTGGGACCCCACCAGAAGGGGATCCTCCGGCTTCAGCCCTCGCTCGGGATCAGCGGCAGCCCTTGGGGATCGCAGCCTCGGCTTGATTCTCCTGCGGGGCCTGGCAGCCAAGATCCCCCTTCCCAGCAGTCCGCAGCCACAAACTCTGGGACCAAACGACCCCGCTCTGCCGCCCGATATCAGCCACTATTTCTCCCCCGCAGTGCCCTGCGCTCACCCAGCGCTCACTTTATAAGGCCGAGAAGGGCGGTGATTTTTTTTCCTTTTTTTTTTTTTTTTTTTTTTTTTTTTTTTTTTTTTTGGTGGTGGTGGGGGGTGCGAGAGGGGGCTGGGGAAGAAGAAACTCCTCTTGTGTGCTCTTCTCTGCTGTCATTCACTGGGCTGCTCTCAGCATCCAACCAATGGAGAGTGAGGGCCTGCAGCAGTAGGCCCTGGGTAGGGTGATTGATGGGCAAGCGGGGCGGCGGGCGATCGCACTCACAATCCGCCGCGCTCCGCTCCGCGGGGCTCCCGGCTCCCCACCGCCCGCCGCGGCAAGGGGTCCCCGGGGCACCCTTGTGTGTGTGTGTGTGTGTCCGTGCGTACGTCTGTGCGTCCTGGGTGAGAGGTTCCCGACGTGTCTTGGTACCTGGGGGTGCTGGGTCTCATCGGAGCGGGACCAGTGTGCGTGGCTGGGGTGTCGGTCTCCGCTCCTGGAAGCTGTCGGGTGTGCGTGGCGCGGTTGTGTCTCCAGTGTCTGTGTCCTGTGCCGCGCCGGGCACGGCTGTCGTGTCCCGGGCTGCGGGGCTGTTTCACTCTTGTACCTGGGCTGCGCATGGCTGTGCTGCTGTGTCTTCGTGCTGAGCGTGTGGCTGCCGTGTCCCGGCCTTGCGTGGCTCTGCTGGCGTTTCTTGGGGTGCTCTGCCGTCGTGCTATGGGACTGAGCGCGTAGCCGGCGTTCCCCGGCTCTGTGCGGCCCCGTTGCCGGTTTCGGGGCGGTGCGGGGCTGCGCTGCCCTGCACGGGGCGGAGGTCCGGCCCCGGTGCCCGAGCGGCGGCATGGAGCACCTCGGGGCTCACCACCTGCACCAAGGGCAAGCCGAGCCCATCAGCTTCGGCATCGACCAGATCCTCAACACGTCGGAGCCGGGCAGCTGCATGGTGTCGCACCCGCGGCTGCAGGACTCGGCGGACTACGGGCTGGGCTGCATCGTGGGCAGCGCCTATAACACGGTCACGGGTGGCTACGGAGCGAGCGGCGGCGCGGCCGGCGCCTACACCGGCACCTCCTGCAGCATGGGCGGCCTGCCCGGCTCCTACAACGTGAACATGGCGGTGAGCATGAACGGCAACACCTTGAGCTCGGCCGGCGGCGTGATCCGCGTCCCGGCCCATCGCCCCGTGGCCAGCGGCGTCCACCAGCCCCTCTCAGCCGCCGTGCCGGCGGTGAACGGCATGAACAGCCTCACGGGGCTCACCTTCCCCTGGATGGAGAGCAACAGGCGGTACACAAAAGACAGGTTCACAGGTGAGTTGCGCCACCGGGACCCCCTTTCTCTCTCTGCACCCGCCGCCCCGCTTCGTCCCCCGCCGCCCGGCCTCGGCGCGACAACCGGTGAACAGAGGGGCACGCAGGATCCAGCCGGGAATCTCTCCGGCCGGGTGGAGAAAGCAGCCGGGATGGTCCTGGGAAACTGGTCCTGGAGGAGGCCAAAAGCAAGACGGGGTGGGAAATGAGACATATCCAGTCCCCCCTAAATGAGTTGTGTTTCCTTTTGTTTGTTTGTTTTGATATTTTGGTTGGATTGATTGTTTATGTATGGGGGGTTTTATGTTGTTGTTGTTTTAGTTCCTTTTTATTTATTTATTTATTAGTTTGGTGTAGGTTTTTTACATTTTTTCCCCCGCGATACGGGTCGGCAAAGGCGGGCAAAGAGGAAAAGGGATGGTAAACTCCATACACGACCTCCCGCGAGCCCCGGGCACGGCTGCCCAATCCCTGCCGCCCGAGCCAGACCCGGGGAAACTTTCCTTCAAAACTGAGAGTTTTGGGAAGCACGGCCCGGCCGGCGGGAAGGCAGACAGGCGGCCCCGGCCCTAACCTGCCCGGGAAGGCCGTCCCGTTGCCTTTCTTTACCGAGCTGGCTTTCCCCGGTTGCGGGTTTCGGCTCAGCATTTTTCCCCACCAAATGGGACATTTTGCAGACCCGAGCAGAGCGGGGCTCGGCTAGAGCCGCTTCCCGGCCTCGCCACTGTATTCGGGTGTAGCTGGGCTCGTCTTTCGGCACTAACAAAGCAAAAACTCGAAGGAAAAGAAATAAATAAAAAAGACGCAAACAAACGAACAAAAGGAACGAAATTAGAACGGGGGGAAATCAGCGCCGCTTCCCGAGGGCGGAAACTGAGGCCCGATTTTTGAAAGTTCCCGTTTAATTTCGACCCGATGGCGCTGGGTTCGGGCACGGCCGCGGGTGGACGAACGCCCTGTTCCCCTGGCAAGCACCTGACTGAATTTCATTCAGTTTGTTCCTGGCTTAGACACAATGTGACTTTTCTTTTTTTTTTTTTTTGTGAGGTTGGAAAAAAAATCAAACCAACAAATCCAAACAAAACCATATATATTTAAAACAAAACAAAAAAAGGAACAAACAAACAGAACAACAAATTTCGACTCCAGTTTCCAGTCCGGGACTGTACTTCCCTGTACGAGGCACTGGGGTCGGGGACGATGGCGTTACCGCCGCGCCTAAACGAAATTATCCCGAACCCGCTTGGCACGGGGCGCGGAGCCCCGGCCCGGCGCCAGGACCGGCTGCCGCTGCTGAGCCCCCGTTCTCCGGCGGGCGCTTGGCCGAGCAAGCGGCCACCTTCCCCTCCGCCGGAGCCGAGCGGTGCCCGGCGGGTGCCCGCAGCACCCAGGAAAGGCCGCCGGGCCTTCCCGGTACGCGGGGCCGCCGCCGCCGAGTTTTTGCAGCTCGTGCGTGGGTGTCGGCGGGGAAGCCGCGGCTTCGGAGCGGTGGGGGGTTGTCCCCAGCCCAGCGGCCGGGAGCCAGAGCCCCTCTGCTGATGTGTCGCTGCTTGCTTCTTTGCCTCTCATCCCCCCTCCTCCCGTGTCCCCCCCAGTGGCCCTCTCACCCTTCACTGTAACACGCCGTATAGGTCACCCCTACCAGAACCGCACGCCCCCCAAGAAGAAGAAGCCGCGCACCTCCTTCACCCGGCTGCAGATTTGCGAGCTGGAGAAGCGCTTCCACCGGCAGAAATACCTGGCCTCGGCCGAGCGCGCTGCCCTGGCCAAGGCCCTCAAGATGACGGACGCCCAGGTGAAGACCTGGTTCCAGAACCGGCGCACCAAGTGGAGGTGAGGAACCGGGGGTCTCGGTAGACCGGGGTGGGGCAGTCCGGGGGGGGGAAAGATCTTGGACAGACCTTTCTGCCAGCAGCTCTGCCAGGAGCCCTGATGGCAGCGCAGAGGCGTGCAAGCCCCCTGTGAGTGTGAATGTGACTGTGTGTGTACACGTGCATGTGCATGCACAGCGGTGTGTGTGTGTGTGTGTGCATGAGCTGCGTGCACACCTGCGAGCGTGTGTGCAAGAAGGCCACGCGTGCCCGTGTGTGCCCGCACACAGCATGTATGTGTGTGTGTGTGTGTTTGTGAGTGTGTGTGTGTGAGCGTGCACGGGGGTGTGAGTGTACAGCACAGCCCCGCGAGTGCGGGGTGCTGCGGGCCGTGTGAGCACACCGGACCTGCGTGCAAAAACGCGTGCGGATATGCCACGGGGATGAGCGTGTGTGAGCCCGCACGTGTGCAGTGGGTGCAGTCAGTGTCACCAGAGGGTGCGGAGGCTCCCCCGCCTCTGTCCGCGGCAGCGGCGAGTCGGAGCCCCCGGCCCGGGGCTGTCGGAGTACCGGGCTTTGCACAGCGTGGAGATTTTCGTCCCCGCGGGGTTCGCGGCGCCTCCTTGCCCAAACGCCTTCTTTTTGTTCTGCTGCCGGGCGTGTCGGTAAAGCCGGAGAGGAAGAGAAGGCTGGGCTCACACGGAGCCTCCAGGGCTCCGTCGCAGTGACCCTGCCCCTCCCAAGCTGCACGTTCCCGGGATGTTCCCGAGGGAGACACCCCAGCCCTGAGAACATCTCCTGCCCTGGGCTGGGCGCTGAGCTGCTGGGTGCTGCGCACTGGGTGTTGGAGGGCAGGCAGGCAGCTTCTTCACAATGGGGAGGAAAGGACTTCCCCAGGGTCTTCCCAAGAGTTAACAGGAGAGTGATTGCCTGAGTATGCTGGAGTTGGGTAAGAAATGGGGGTCAAGGAACTTGAAACCAAGAGGGGATGTGAATTCTCAACCCCAGTGAGTTCTTTCCTAGAGAATCCATGGTAGTTCAATTCCCCAACTGTTAGGAAGTCTCTAGCTGGCCAGAAAAAGAATCCTGGAGGAGGAACAGTCCTGCTGTGGCCTGCAAAATGGGGTCAGCTCTGTCTTCTAACCAGGTTTCCTAAGGAAGTGAGGCAAATCCATCTGTCAATACTCTTTGCGTCTGTTGGCTAAATTCAGCCTCTTTTGGCAGAGGTGCAGAAGATACAAACCTATTCACTTGTTTTACAAAAAATAGCTGGGTAAAGAGAAACAAAATCCTGCTTCTGCCTAAGGGAGAGGCTGCAGCCAGACCTCAGCTGTAACATTAGACATGGGAGACTCTCTGGCCTGAGCAAGAGGGACACAGGCATGTAAGTTCTGCTTGTATGCATCTCTGCCTGCCGGGTGTTGCGATGAAGATGTGGGTGACCCTGGCTGATAGCACACCCAGCTTCCTGCCTCAGAGCCCTGCACTGGGCAGCGGGCTCTGAGTGGTTCCTGGGGCACTGGGAGCTGGAAGGTGCTGCTGTAGGCTCAGCCTGAATGAGGCAGTGGAAAGTTATCTGAGAAAATAGAGTTGCTATAAGCTCTCTGAGCAGTTAAACTGCTTGAACGCAGATTGGGGAGAAGAGTATTGCCCCCGCCCCTTGCCTGGATGTCTCTGCTGCAGGGAGGTATCTGTGTGATCCCCTCCTCTGATCTGGGCTCTTGCTTTAGACACAGCTCTTTCCAGGCAGGTATGAACCTGGAAATCCCATTCTGATGAGAATCCATGATTAGACCAGCTGCTTGCAGGAGGGAAACCCTTGGGAGCAAGGTGCTCACAGCCATGGTACTCCTGATCATCCTGGACATGGGGCTCCCTCCCTCCTCCTGGAGCATCTCCTTGTTGTTCAGGGAGTCATTAAATATTCATTGAGGCAGAGACTGAGCTGCTCCCCAGGCAGGTGCAGCTCTGAGCCCGCTCTTCCCTTCCCGGGATGGCTGATGTGAGATGTTGACACAGTGATTAGAACAGGGACTGAGCCCTGAACTACCTGCTCCCAGGAGGGAACACTGGCCGCATGTCTGGAGGCTTGGGTGCCCAGAGGCCATTGCTGGCATCCAAGTGCCAGCCTGCTTCCCCACTGGGAGCCAGGGACCCCTGCCCTGTGCTCTGAGATGCCACTGTGGAGATCAGAGCTGCCACTTCCAATTCCCATGGCCAAAGGGGATGAGACATCTCACATCCCCCCCGAGCTGCTAAATTAAAAAGCTGCCATTTCCTGTGTCACTGGTCCACTGAAGCTGCTGAGAGGATGTCAGCTGAGCCTGGGGGTGGGAGGGAGAGGATGCTTTGGGAATCATCCTGGGACCAGCACTGTGAGTTGCTCCCAGGTTTACTCAGCAGCATCAATTGAGGTGCCAGGTGAAGTAGGGGTGAGTGCAAGCTGCAGACTTTAGACTGACCTGTCATCCAAGCAAGCAGGACTGGCGTTTCCATTGTGGATACAAGAGGATTCAGGCTATTTCTACCTATGCCATTCTCTGCTCCTGGGCAGCCCAGAGCCAGGGCCCGACCAACACTGAAAGAGCCCCTTCTGACCCCCTAACACCCTCTCCTTGGGGATCACCTCTGCTGGTGTCATACCAGGCAGACACATGTCCAAACTGTTCTGAAAAGTACTGTCATTCACCCTTTCCAGATAGTATATTCTGTGCTTTGATTTTTGTTACTGCTAAAATATGTGTTTCTAGTGTTTAGTTGAAATTTTGCTTCTTGCTAAGGGAATGTTTTTGCCTTCATTCAAGCTCTCAACAGCTGTTCACCACAGCATGGCAGACAAGGTGGCAAACCTGGATGCTGAAATGGGACATCCAGGGTGACACTGCCCATCTCCCAGCTGTGTGGCACTGCCAGTCACTGTCTCACCCCACCCTCCTTCATGCTTCTTCCTGGGGCTTTGCATGCTTGGCTCTTGCTGTTAGACCAGAGCATGTTTTCAGGGAATCACAACTTTTGCAATGCTGCTCTGTGACACTTCGGGTGTTTTGTCCCTGCTTTGTTTTTTTTCCTGTGGGCAGAGAGTAATCCAGAGCTGTGGGCTGTTCCCAACTCTCTTTGATCAGAGCAGTGCTTTTGCTGGGGCCAGTAAGAGAGACAGACCCAGTCTACGGGATTTACTGGGATTTAAATCCCAGTTTATGGGTTTTACTGGCCATTTGTGTAGGGGATGTGGGACCATACCATGGCAAGGCACCCTCTTTTCCTACCCCTGCCCTTCCACATCATGAGAACCCAGCACAAGTTAATCTCTCTGGCAACACCCTTCCCTTGCTTCCCCAGGCCCCCCTAATGGCTCCCTCTCTCCTAGGAGACAGACAGCGGAGGAGCGGGAGGCTGAGCGGCAGCAAGCAAACCGCATCCTCATGCAGCTGCAGCAGGAAGCCTTCCAAAAAACCATCAACCAGCCCATCCAAGCTGACCCCATCTGTGTCCACAACTCCTCTCTCTTCGCCCTTCAGAATCTCCAGCCTTGGTCTGATGACTCCACCAAGATCACCAGTGTCACCACGGTTGCCTCTGCTTGTGAATAAATCTGGCACCCACTGGTGGCACCTACACCTTCTACTGGCGGGGCTGTCCCCAGGGGGACACGAGGCATCCTTGGTGGGACGTAGCAACTCTGTTTCTCCCCAAGGAGGGCTGGAACCCCCTGATCCTCTGGCCACATGCATCCTATGTATCCAGCTGGGGAAGCCCTCCACAAGGAACAAAAAGAAGGAAAGTTACCCCAGAAACTCTCCCTAACCATGGAGTTGCTGGAGCAGCAATGCTTTCTCACCTCCCCCCAATCCTTTTGTTCTCCTGAAAGTCTCCAGTGTCGACCCTGAACTTGCTGACGTGCTGCCAGACAAAAGCCCAGCCCTGACAGACACAGCCGCTGGTGATCATCCAGCTGGGGGAGAGGAAAACTTCCTCAGGATTCTACTGGCGGCAGTGCAGAGTCTATGTATAACCATATATATATGTATATCTATATATATCTATATATAGATATATATATAGAGATATGTTTTGAACTGTTGGCTTGAAAGAAAAGGAGAAGGCTCCCTTGGAAACACGTCTCTGCTGTGAGCCTTCTTGGGTTGCCCGCACCGGAGACATTCGGGAATGCAACAAATGGAGGAAACAGCAGCAATTTCTGCTTGTGCCAGATGGGAACCCTTCAGATCTCACCTCGCTGTCTCTCCTCCCCTTTTTCATTAATTTTTTCTTGCGAGGGGGGAACAAGAGAAGGATCTGACAGACTCCTGAGGACGGTAAATATGATATCTCAATTGTATGAAGAGCCCAAACAGTCCCTGGCTGCCACGGACTCTGTGCCCATCAGCGAGTATTTTAATAACGAGAAGACCTGGGTGGCAGTTTGTGGGGGTAATGCAGTTTCTTTCCATGGAATATTTCCATATAATTTGCAAAATGTTGTCCAATGTTTTATTTTATCAGTTTCCAGTTAGAAGGTGGTTCCTGACAACAAAAAATTGATTTCACTCTCAGCTGTTTAACTTCGTTGTTCTTTTAATTGTACCAAGAGAATGAGACAAAATTAAACAAAGCACTTCTAGCAAATGCCAGGAATATATAGCTATATATATATATAAACAATATATATTTTTCAGTTACTTATAATCTAAAACAGCACTGCCAATTTAAGCAGTTAGTACAAACAAGCAACCAGAAAACCTATTTTCAGTGAGATTTTTAAAGGCATTCATTTGTTTGCTTTTTTTGTTTTGTTTTTTTTTTTTAAGTTATGCACTTACAAGGTGTTTTATGTGAATTCATTTTATAAAGTGCTTGTGTAATTTATGTGGAAATGAAAAAGAAAATAAAAAATCTCCAGGGTACTGAATAAATCATTTAAAGCCTTGCTGTTCCCTGTCTATTAGTTCCCCAGGAGGAGACAGCAGATCACAACTACTGCTGAAGCCTGTGCTATTTTTTTTTTTTTAAATAAAAATAGAGTTAGCATTTCCATTTGACTTTGCTCAGGTCCACTTGGCTTTGGAAGCTCCAGATGTAATATGCTGTGTTTTAATCTCTGGTCCTATAAACATTTTCAGGCTCCAACCCAGCAGTGCATTTAGCGCTTGCTTTAATCAAAGCCTTTCTGGGGGGCTTGCTGGGGGTGGCAGGGACTTAGTGCAGGGGTTTAGCCTTAAACTCGTGTGGAATAATTTATTGAATAAGACCTTGGAATGAGGTCTTACCTGGGCTGAGGCAGATCTACAGATATTTGTGTCTGAAACTAATACAAAAAGGGGAATTTGAATATAAAGAAGTACAAGAGTACATTTTAGAGACAATCTTGCAGGGGATTATTGTGGGGACACTGTTTTTCGTTTGTACTCAGCCTTGCTGCGGGACATTGTCCCCAGCCTGGCAAGCCCTTCTCAGAGGAAAATCAAATGGGTGGGAAAACTCTCATCAGCTTTCTTGGGGGAGACTCCCAGCCCCGTGGCTGGCTTCAGCCTGCTGCTTCCTTGCAGCACTGGGAGTTACTGAGCAAACAATGTTGGAGGATACGGCTGAAAAGGGCAGGCAGCCACGAGCAGTGGCAGGGACCCCCTGACGTGGCCCTGGGGTCCAGGCTGCCTGTGGGACATCTGCAACAAAACACCCCAAGCTCTGATTCCTGGTGGGGGACAGTCCTTGCTCCTCAAGGCTGGGTCCTCTGGGTGCAGCGTTGCTGGGGAGTTTGTTAAGGGAGAATATGAATAGCCTGCTTCATCCGAAATCCGCTGTTGTAGGGCTGGGCTGAGAATCTGTGGTGCTGCAGGATTTTCCCGTTCTGCAGTCCAATGTGTATGAGAGCACAGAGGAACATCTGCAGCAATGGAGAGAAAAGAAGCCAGAAAAAGGAAAGAAGGAAAAAAACATGGGAAAATATGGAACTTGGAGAACATGCATTTTTGGAAATATCTTTAAAAGATTATTACTGCCAGAAGAATGCTAAAATAAAATAATACATATTTTTCCAATGTAAATTTCAGGCAAGTCTTTTGTTTGAATTCTGTTTTATACTACAGTCAGATTTTTTTATTCTGAATGAGCTTATTATTTAACATTCACTCAACTTTGTCTACAAAGTTAAACTCCTTCAGGAGGCATTGCTGTGTACAAACCTTTAATGGTTCACAGTTTGTTGTAGTGTGTATTTTTCTTTTCAGGGTTTCTGCATAGGAAAAATCAACCACAAAATAATAATAATAATAATAATAATAATAATAATAATAATAATAATAATAATAATAATAATAATAATAATCTCACTGTTGATATTTAAACTGTTTTCTATTTTCTTATTATGACACATCAATATTATAAAATTTAATTGTAAGACAACCATTTTATAATATTCACTTTATTCAGTTAATAATCTAAAATGTTCCCCAGTGAAGTTGAGGAGATGATATTGCACATTTGAGGGAATAGGTTTAGATAGAATTTTAGCTATACCTTGTTTTCAAAACTGGCAACTTCCCCCTTTTCTGAAAGATCTTTCCTGTAAAAAGAAAAAAAACACAGCAAACCAACAGTAAAAAAGGAATCTCAATATGAAATGAGAATATATGTTACATTGGAACAAGAAAAACAGTTGCCTGGCCTTTCTTGTCCCTGGAAAATTGATTGTGGAGGAATTTTCTCTTAAAAGATTTCTCTTGGATTCATTTTAAAAATTGGTTTAGTGGCAGAAGGTGTTTTTGATATCTGCATATGTGCTTCCAGTTATTAATATGATGATTTGTACCTAGACAATAAAAGTTGTCTGAAATATGATGGAATTAAATCAATAAGTAATGACATGAAATAATGACACGTAATGTTATGTTTTGTAGACTGACATCACCTCAGCTGTATCCTGGGGCCATCCATATCACATTGAAGGCTGATTTAATTTTTTGTATTATACTTATTTGGGAGCAGGAATAAAATTGCATTAAGATGCCTTCAAAGTCATTTCCCCCTTCCTTCGCTCTCAAAATAAAGCAAGTCCCAAACATGAAATGGGAGTCAGGGAGAAATGTTTTTCTATGTTTGCCTGTATCTAGGAAATGCAGACCAAGGCAGAGTGACTTTGGTTTGTGTCCTGCCTGGAGCTGAAGGCACAGGGAGTCACAGGGGACGGTGCTGCGGTTGTTCTCATCTCTCTCACCCACAACGCTGCCAGGGATCCAGAGCTATCATTCATTTGGGTTGGATGTGCTGAGCTTTTGAAGGTGAAATCTGGAGGGGGGGAACACCGTCTTTGCATGAGCAACTGGAGTATTAAACATCTGTGTGGAGCTGGAGGAGACGAAGCCCTGTGGGATGGGCTGTGGTTGTCTGCGTTTGGTCCCAGCTCAGCAAACTATGAGGGCAAGAGGGAACCAGAGGTCTGGCCCCCATTTAGCCAATTAGTTGAGCACATGAGTCATCCAAACAAGGATCAGTTGGTTTATCTCTGCTGAGGGATGGCCCAGGAAAAGGCTGAAGGGTCTTTGCTGGAGCCTTCCACCCTGAGCAAAGCCTGCAGTTGTGCTCGGCACAGGCCAGCCCATTTGATCCCTCCAATACATGCACACCCCAGTTCCTACCTGAGAACCACATGCAGCTTTTTGTGAGCTGCATTACCCCATCTATGGGGCATTTGTTATATCTTTTAAGTTATTTCTGCTGCAGCAGCAGCATCAGTGGGAGCCACGTGTATTTGCTGGAGAAAGACTGAGGCGAGTGTACATGTCCTCCAATATGGTTTGTATAATCGATAATGAAAGGAGGCACTGACCCCACAAACACCCATATGCAGGATCATTTTCATTATCTCACTGAGACTGTTGATTGGTGTTTTTGAATGTGCTCCTGATTAACCAGTACCCAAAAAAAGCTTAAACCTGGGGCTGCTGGCTCAGCACGGCGGCAGCAGGAGCCCATCCCCGCGGAGGCAGCCCCTCCTCGCCGCCAAGGCCAGCTCACAGGGACTCGGGGCTACATGGGGTAAAAAACCCCAACCAATTTACCAGCAAAATTCAAAATGGCTTTGCTGAAAACTGTTTGGGTTACAATAAAAAGCCATTCCTCTCTGGGGTTCTGGGACAGCTGGAACTTTTTGAATTAACCTTTTTTTTCCCTTGTCAGAAGCAGACTGGCTGAGTGACACTGATTTCTTTGTGCAGCGGTCAGCTTTGATGGCCACTTGTTTAAAAGTGTTTCTGGAATAACATTTGGAGTTATCAACTTCTCCTGGTTGAAAATTTTCTAAGTGAGAAGGTCTAAAATTGGGGAAAAATGGTAGGTTTTTTAAAATAAATATTAAGGGAAAAAAAACCCAGAACACACAAAGTTATAGATTATCAGAAGAAACTTTTGTTGGAGTTATGCCAGATTGTTTTTTTTTTTTTTAGATCTTTTGTTTGTGCAGCTAATTGTGATTTTGATATTCCTTAAATTATTGTTATTGTCTCTATTACAGTAGGAAATTTGTTTGATGGGTCAGCACTTATCTGAAATTAGGACAGAGGTCTTTTCCCCTATTCCTTTCCATTAATCAGAA